TTTTAGTTCGGTTACAGAAATGTTGGGTTTAGAGAGAATCGCCACCCCGCAACTACTGTGACTTGGACCAGAGTTCCAAATGGACTCGCCAGTCCATTCATCTCCCCACTGCTTTACAGTGAACGGTCCAGATTTTGTTTCCTGAAGGAGGATAAGATCGAAGGAGGACTTTTTAAGAAAACCAAAAAAATTGTCGCGTTTTGTTTGGTCGTTTAGACCGTTTATGTTGCATGTTAAAATATTAATAGCCATGACGGAGAGAATCAGCTTTCCTAATTTGAAAAATCGTGTAGCTTAAACATAAATATAATAAGTTTACAACCTGACATGAAAAACACTTACATTAAAAAGTTAACCTTAGAACACGAGTTTTTGATTGAAATGACGTAATACGAACAAATGGACTTACTGGACCATAACATTTTACAAAAAAGCGCGAACTACAACAATACGACATAGGGTAAAGTGACCAAATTCCAGCATCTTTACAAAATTGTTTCTACAGACATATTAACAAAGAGGTCTATATGAAAATTATACATTTCTAGAAAAATAAATCTTTCAGCATTTAGGATATAATTACAGCAACTATTATAAATAAAAAATGTTTGATAAAACAACGAGTATATAAATTTGACCAAAATACAGCCACTATGACCAAATTTCAGCCAGGCGTATGCGGAATGAACCTAATTACAGCCAGTATAAATAACAAGCTTTTTATAATACTTTTATGGGTTGGCATTTAAAATATTTTAAAATTAATTGAATTACTAAATATTGAACCAATAATTTTTTTGATGTGATCTTAAACATCAGTTAGAAAATGATTGCTTAACTTAATACTAAGCATTCATCAACAAATAAACTTAGTAAGGATGCCTAAATCTAAAAAAAATAAGTTTTCAGGAAATGATTTTAAAACTATTCAAAAATGATTTTGAAACTATTTTAAAAGATTTGCATAGAATATAATATTCACATTAAAAAAAAAGAATTCAGTGAACTCTAGAAAAGACTTTTTTAAACACTAAGAACAAAAATTCATAACAACATGATCAAATTACACATTGCTTTTTTATACTTTTATTGGTTCATTTTTATAGCAACGGTTTTTTTCTAGGATTATCTTTTGACAATACCGTTGCTTCCTTTATTTTTAAGTTTTGTAGTCTTTTCAATTTACGCATTTCTTTTTCCTTTTCATTTTGAGCTTGTTTTTGCTTCTGCTTTAACTGTGACTCATGTGCTTCCTTAGAAGTAAGCACAAAAAACTTGTCTGCATTCTTAGCTTTTTTGCTCTTTGTAAAATTTGGATAAGAATATGGCAAAATTTCATTATCTCTATCTCCTGGATAAGATGAATTTTTAAAGGGGAAATTTGGGGCAAAAGATCTAGTTTTTGCAAAATCAGAAGCTAAAAGAGTTGAAACTGTAAAATCAACTTCATGCTGATCAATAGGCTGTTCAATTTCAGAGTAAGACATAATCCTAAAGCTGTCTTGAAACTTACTAGTAGCTTTATTACTTGCAGCTTTTAGTTCTATAGTTTTCATATTTAGTTCCACTAAATCGTCACTCCTATGTTCTACTACGGTTATTGGTTCAGCTAAATAGTCGTGATCATTTGCTTCAGCAAATCTTGGGTTGGTAATTAGATGTTGTTCCAACTCAATATCTGGTAAAAGTACTTTTGTGCTGTCTGTTGTTTGCTTAATCTGCTTAACTATTGTTGAATTATCAACTGTTAATTTGATCAAAAAGATTAGTCATTAACCTGTCTTCAGAATACACATAGTTTGGCAAATAAGCTTTAGCTGGAATAATTGAAGGATTATATGGAAAGATTCCACATGATTTAAAGCCAGATTCAATATTAGCTTTTGTCATACTTTTATTCCAGGCTTTGGTTAAAAGTTCTGTAAATTTGCCCTTGTTTATTATAACCCCAGGGTGATTAGACATCATATTCTGGGCTGCTTTATTATATGAAACTTTGAATGGCTTAAATACAGTTCAATCATAAGGTTGAAGCCAATTGCTTGTATGAGCAGGTAATTCAACAATTTCAATTCGGTTTTGTATGGCCATATCTATTAACTCTACGAAATTATGGGAATTGTGGCCATCTAAATTTAAAACTTGTGGACGTTGTGGTCCAATGTTTTTTAAAAATGTAAGCTCAAACCATAATTTTGCAATCTCATGTTTAGTCCATCCAGATTCACTTGGACTCCAGTAGGTTCCTTCAGGGGCATCTAGAACTTGAAAACTTTGAAGGGATTTTACTGTCTTTCCTTTTGGAATCACATGAGGTGGTAAGGCTCTTCCTGCTGCATTCACACAAACAATTAAAGTAATCATTTCTCAATTTCCACTTGTTCTCATATGTAAATATTTTGTACCTTTTGCAGCAACTATTTTGTGCGCCTTAAAGTCTAGCTGCATTCCTGTCTCATCCATGTTCCATATTACTTCAGGCTGACAGTCTTTAATAACTTCTTTAAGTGCAGTAAAATAATTTGCCACCTTTATCAGATTCATGCATTGATGACGAACTGATGCTGTTGATTCTGGTTGTCGAAGAGTTACTTTTTTGTTATGTCGATTGTTAAGTAGTCGCCACCATTTATTAGATGGTTTGCCATTCTTAAAAGAATATCCATATTTTTGGCAAGCTTGCCAGCATATACCAAGAATTGTTCTTTTCCAAAACCAATGCCCATCCTAGCTCTGTTGTCTGTAAAACCGAGTAACTTTTTTTCAAGATCAAGCGGCATTAAACTTTTTCTTCCTGCTTTTGCACCAATCTCAACAGTTCCATTTATCCTGCTCTGCAAAGTTGCTCGGGGTACTTAAAAAAATTTAACAGCAGCTCTAACAGACATTTTAGGTGAACTAATAACACTGTTTATAGCTTCAAGTAACGCTTCCTCTTTATATTTCATATATTTACCTCGAGTTGGATGACATTGTTTCTTATTATAAATTTTATTTTTATTATCAGTTATTCTAAAATGAAAACTTTATATTATAAATTATTAAAATTTTCAATTAAAGATTATTTTTTAATATAATTTCATTTATAAGTAATAATTTACATGAAACAATATAATATCTTTCAATTATTTAGACTTTTGTTTATTTTTAAGTTATCATCCTCAAATTTTAAAAATATTATATAAATATTTAACTAAATAAATGCAAATATTTAAGATTTATAACTTTTAGGACATAAATGTAACATAAAGTACTTATATTAAAAGAATAAAATCTAATAATATAAATATCATACAAGTATGAGTTACTTTTAGACACTCGTGAACCTAATTTCGGCCTTGGCCGGAATAAGGTTTATACCTGGCCGGATTTTGATCATTCTACCAGGTGCAATTAATTAAGAAATACAATCTATAGTAATGACTCAACATAATTATAAAGCTAAAATTGTCTTTTTAAGAAATATATTTATAGTTTAAAATAATTAACATTTCGTTAAGTAATAAATATTTAATATTTATAAGCTTCAAACTGGATGCTTACATGATATTTTAAATATAAAGTAGTACTTTTTTGAGATGAATATTTTTTATGATGTTACTTCTATTATAAACAGCCGCCAACTATAACAATGCTTTTTTTTATTGGCTGAATTCATACCAGTCTCAAAAAAGTAGCATTTACAAACATAAAGCAGAAAACAAGACAGAAATAATAAATTTAAAATGTGGCTGGAATTTGGTCACTGGCTCGAATTTGGTCAGTTTACCCTACAGCTTATGCGCATAATTAAATATGTGCCATTCATTTTTAATGAGAAATTAAAAATAGAACAGAAAAAAAACTCGAAAGAAAGATTTTTTTGTAGAAAGAAAAAATTAAGTTTAAGAACAGAAAAAAGTCAAAATTGAAAAAAAAAAAAAAAAAAAAGGAAAATTAGAAAGTTAAGACAAAACAAAAATAATGAGAGAAAAAAATCTTACGATTCCTTTTCCGCACAAAGTTGGCTATCATATTCCTCATCTATAATCAGATTGTCGGCCTCGTCGTCTTGAAAAATCTTGTCTTTTTCTCGACGCATAATATCTTCTTCTTTTCCCATCGCATTTTTGTGATTTAAATCTGTTGTGTTAATAACCTTTTTAGGGGTTTCGCCTTCTGATTGCCCAAGACGTTTTCTTGTTGATTGGGTGATTTTTGGTTTAATCTTTAAATGAGCTTCGTTATTCTTATGTTCTACATCAACATTGATGTCGACACTGTCACCGCCGCCATCAATGTCTTCACTTGCATTGTCAATGCTGATTTCGCTTTTATCGCTGTTGTTAGTTGATTCATCTGTTTCTGTTTTTAGGGGTATATTGTTTGGGTTGAGTTTTTGTAAGTTGGTTTCTTGTTGTCCTTGGTGTTTATAGCGAAGTGTTAGCCCATCCACATTTTGGTATCTTGGTAAAGGGTTTTGACTGGGATTTTTCCAATTCTTTATTATAATAACAACATTTCCAGTATATATATCTTCACCCTGAACTTTAACCTTTTGCAAATAAAACGAATCGAATTCTCCTCTACCAATCGCAAGGTGTTTGCCTAGCAAAATGACAGCACCCTGGCATCCATTTCTAAGTACTCCAATAGGTATGTTTTGGACAAGTACGTGAACTTTACGAACATATTTTTCTTCGAACCGTAGATGAATACCTTTAATTTTGATTTCAGCTTCCAAAAACAAAGCCAATGAGGAACTGTTAATAACGGCAAACTCAAAAAGTTTGTTGAAGTAATGCCTAGTTACTCCCCAAACCAAAGCTAACAACTTCTTTTCAGATAACGCCATGAGAAAATCATTTACACTAAAATTAATATCACCATACTTACAAATCAAAACATTACTATTATCATAAGAGAGATTAGATTTAAAAATTCCAAGATTATTCTTTGCATAAGTATCGTTTGACGAAGATGATGAAGAAGATAGACCCGAATTACCCTATTTCCCTTTTGACGGACGTTCTTTATAATTAAGCACTAAAACGTCCGTATTATAAGTATTTGTTATTGCAAGATGGCATCAGAAAAGCTCGTGGGTTCTCTTATTGAAAATTTGGCATTAAAAAGTGACCAACAAGCAGAATTTAATAAAAAAATTGCTGAAGTAATTTTTGTTAAATTTTTTGTTTAAACAAGATTATTTTTTGTTGATAAGTTTGAAATTTTTAACTCTTCTCCCTCGCAATTGAAAGTGCCTCACGAATTTGGAGGATTTAACATTTTACATTTTTACAAAAGTTGTAACACTGTTTGTTATAAAAAAGATTAATTTATTATTCTGAGTTTATTTATGCACTAGCTACCGCTTATAACAGTAGCAGTGTCTAAAGTAAATATAACTGTCATAATTTTTGTGAATTTCAAGTTTTAAAATGTACTGTTATACTATAGCGGAGGACCCCTGTTTCCTTGTAGATATCTAGAAGCTTTAAAAGTATTTATTTTCTTATATTAATTGTGTACAATGAGTTTTATACCCAAATATGTTGCAATAACAACAAAGTTAGTCTTAAGTTTGTCCTGTTTTTTTTTGTTTTTTTTGTCAAGGTTTGTTACTATATATGGCTAAGATTTTACTGCATTTGTTGCTTAAAAATGTTGTAGCATCATTTTAAATTTATGAAAAAAACACCAACTAGATTATACTTAGTTGGGTTTAGGGGTTCCATTCAGATTGGTTTTATCCCTTCTTAGTTAGGTAAATTAGGAGTAAGGCTATTACCGTTGAAAAATAACTAAAAGTTTTATTCTTTATTTCAATTTTTTAATGACATTTTTATAAAAAAGTTTTTAGACTGTTCCTTTTTTATGTGGAGTACTAATGCTGTCCTTAAAAAGACAGAATTAGTACTTCATGTGGTGATTTCGAACAGTTTTTGAAGAAAATATAAGACTGTTTCATTAAAATCAATACAAAATGGAAATATTTGCATGGATTGTACCACTGTAATTATAAAGAACATGAAGAAATTTTGGCTTTCAGCTTCCCAATATGTTATTAACATAAAAAAACAATTTAAAAATCAAAATCAGGAAATAGGGTGACTCTGGAAGCTTGAGATTTTAAAAGTAGAAAATTCAACATCAAGGATTTTAAAATGAATGTATAACTATGTAAAAAGCTGTTTAATTAAATTTTTTATTTTAAATAACAAAACAAAAAACAACAACTATTGATAAACAATTTCAAATATACATATAGTATATTTGACACAAAACTTGTAAATTGTAAACTTACAGTTTACAATTTACAAGTTTTGTGTCAACCATTTTCTTACTTTTAACTATATTCTTTGTTTTTTCCCTGACAAGTTTATTGTGGTTTCTTGTAGCTTTTATGGAAACAGAGTATATAAGCGGTAGTCGGTTAAATGCGAACTGTGAACCGGTAAAATGCAAACTTTTTTGCAAACTATTGTTCTATTTGTTGTTAATGATGTAATATTTTTTATTTTCTGTTTACCGCTAAATTGTTAATTTTGAGCAGAAACATAAATTATATTTGATTTAAATGAAATACAATCTAATTTAAATAAAATATATCAAATTACACTATATTTAATTTAAATTAAAAAATTGATGAGCAAAAGTTTTTTTAAATATCATAACCGTAGTGGTCATTAATATATAATTTCTTGGTTCACAAATAAGTTTGCATATTAACTACTACCAATATAAGCAGAGTTATTTCTCTATCTCCGAAACTCTTCTCTATAACTCAATTACCAATCAGGACTCACAAATGATTGACAAAATGACAAAACTCACAAGCCAGGAGTTCCAGGACCAAACCACTGTCACTCAAGCGACATGAAGAAACTTAAAATATTTCTAATCTTATTTTGAAGGTCTTCAAACAGGACTATGAAATCCAAAGAGATATTATTACGTACTTGTCAAGTTTTGCAACTGACATTTTATCTGATAAATTCAAAATAAATCATATTCATTGCATTGGTTTGTTTCTTATTCCTTTTTGCAAGTCTTTCAAAGTCTTCGGACAAAATGTTTCTGCCAAGCTTATAGAAACAAAGGAAAACCTGCGACGTCTTATACAATATTGTAATTTTGAAAAGACTAACTCATCACCGACCAATTCTCCACCTCAGAAAAAGCAGCACTCCTCTACCAAGCCTTTTTCTAGCCACATTTTGCCTTCACTTTCTTCCTTTATTGACTCAACAGCCCCTGTTGAGAATAATGAAATTGAATCTACTATATTGTAGAATTGAAGTTGTGGCACCAAATGTTCAAGATTTAAAAAATTCGGGGAATGAAGCACTAAAGTGGTGGGGAAAAAATAAAGAGACATTTCCAGTATTGTTCATTGTATCTAGCTTTGTTCTTGCCATTCCTGCTACCTTAGCCCCAAGTGAACGAATGAATTCCATTGCAAAGCTGATTACTAATGACAGGAGAGCCAATCTTGCACCAGAAACAATTGAAGCCTTGATGCTACTTTGAATGGACAAGGAACTGCAAAATTCCCATTTCAATGCCAAGGACAAACACTAAGAAAACTTATTTAAAACTTACTGAACTTTTTTTTTTAATTTACTACCTGTATTATACAGGCTGTATATACTGCACTTAAATCTGTACCAGAAATTACTACAAACCTGTAAATATGAAAAATTGTCCGATTCTTGTGTAATTTTTTATTTTTCATTTTTTTGCATGTTCGACGTCCGACCACGTTCGAGAGTTTTAGTTCAATGACTGTTCGGTGATCGATCGGTGTTTGGTTCGATCGGTGTTTGGTTTTTCTGTCCGGTGTTTGGGGTGTCCGGGTTGTTTGACAAAATTATTGTTGCTCGTGTTCGACCGGTTTGGTGGTTCGGACTGTACGAACAGAAAAACGTCAATCAGTCCGACCATCTCTACACACGCTCTTGTTTGGTGAATTAGTTAAAAATAAGGTGATAAAGATGATACCAAGTATAAGATAATAACATAAAAATAAGATAAGTAGAAAATTAAAAAATATAATAGAAAATGTTCAAATATGAATATGTCCTCTGGCATTGTGTAGTTGTTGTGATATATTGCAATGTTTTTATGGAAAACTAAGCAAGTCTTAATTATAACATCTTTAGTACCTGTTAAAAAATAAATGTTGCACTTAAAACATTGTTTACATTGCACTTGACATTTTACATAGTAGAAATTAAACTAAATCAAAGGTAAGTAGATGAAAAATTATTGGTTCAATAAACAAAAAAAAAAAATTATTTTGATACATTTACAAGAAGTCTGACTTTACTCAGAAATAAATAGATTTTAAAACATTTTTTAAATTTTAATATTTAATTAAATTAAATTTATAAGGTTTAAAAAAATGATTTTAAACCGAATAAAGTTCGACTCCTCAACAGGCATTTATACTAGCATTTCAATTTTTGATTCAAATTTATTATTTTATAGTTTTCCAATAAAAGTTAGTAATCTTTCTTAATCATGATTTAAAAGTTAGGAATTTATCTTAATCACATTATATAAAGTTTTCTAAACAACATTTAGGTGGATTTCCACAGAACAAATTTATTTTTTCATCGATAAACATGCACAAATAAAACATATTTGTCAAAATTAACAGAAATGAATTATCTGCGCATCCTTAACGACATAAAAATTTGCTTTGCGAGAATAAATTTGTTCCGTGAAAATCTGCCTTTATAACTGAAAAAGCAAATTACAACTCAGAATTTAGATTCAAACAAAATGTTATTTTAAATTAAGTTTGCTGTGTTTGGTTATCTTAAACATCTAATGTTTTATATTTTTTTAAAGATAATAACAATAATATTAATAATAATAATTAAAATGCTGTTGAGATAGAGCGCCAGGCAAAATCTGACAGCCAACACAATAGTTGTCTTGAAATTTTATTGCAACCTGTTTTTCTTGTTCAATATTATCTGCAAGTCAATCAGTTTAATTCTTGATTTAAACTCTTTGACTGATGTAGACTCCACTACCAATTCCGGTAAATTATTACATCCAAAGACAACCTTGTTGGTAAAGAATTGTTATCTACTTTTTAACAATTTTTTAACATACTTTTTAACAATTTTTAACAAACTCTGAATTAATACAATATTTATAACCTCTAGTATTAGATGCTAGAGGTTATAAATATTGATTGAATGTATCTGGACTTTCTTCACACCAATAGATTCAAAACCTTTATATAATTTATATTGTTGTATAAGGTCACCTCTTAGTCTTCGAAATCCTAAAATTGTTAAATCTAATATTTTTAGTCTTTGATTATATCCCAGATGTCTTAATTCTGGTACAAATATAGTTGGTCTTATTGGAACTTTTTCAAGTTCTTTGATATCTTTTTTATAATAGGGGAATCACAAAGTCCAAATGAGGTCTAACATAGGTGCAATAAAGCATTTTCATGAGGTATTTATCTTTAGACCTAAAAGTATTATTTAATATTGCAAGCGTATTGTTTGCTTTATTGGCAGCATTCCTTACTTGTCTTTCCAATTTCAAATTTTTGGATATAAAAATACCTAAATCTTTTTCATGAGTCGATTTTTTGATTTCTTTTAGTTCATGAAATAAGAATATCTTTTATTACTTGCACAAAAATGCATTATTTTACATTTCTCAAAATTCAAACCCAGTTTCCATTCAACAGACCATTTGTCAAGTTTTTTTATGTCATTTTGAAATGATTTTGAATCGATCTTGGTATAAATAGGAGCAATTATTTTATTGTCATTGGCATACAAACAACATTTATTAAGAAGTCTGCTTGGTAAATCCTTTATGAGTATCAAGAAAAATATAAATTATATGTAAGTAAAACCATGTTGTTTTGAGATTTTCTTAACATTTTATATATCATATTCTTTCTTTTCATTTTATATAACAAAAAAAAAAGCAAAAAAAATAGATATCAAAGTTTTAAAAAAAAAAGAAATTAATATTAATTTTAATGCTATTATTTACTACTGTGATGACTTCTTTATAGGAGACTACTGTGTGAGACTACTTAGGGATTTCTGTTTAGGAGACTGTTTAGAGACAAACCTAGGCATGCTTTGTTGTAACAGTTAGGGCTCTGAAAAATGAAAAAAAAATATTGTTTGATTTTAATGCATAATAAGTTAAGTGTTTATTTTATGCTAGCTGATTATTTTTCTATTAATGTATTTTAAAATGTTTAAGTTTTTATTTTTATCTTTATTTTCATTATTCATCAATTAGTTAAATTAAATTATAATAATTGAATATTTAAAGTTATAAGTTTGAAATTAAATTTTTTTTTTTTTTGATATTACTAAGCTTCCTTCTGATGTTTCACCAACCGGAACCATATACATTGGTCACCTTCCACGTGGATTTTATGAGGATGAAATTAAAAAATACTTTTCACAATTTGGTGTTGTAAACAAAGTTCGTCTTGCTCGAAGCAAAAAGGTAAAATAATAAACAAATTTTTCAATGATTTTTGTATTGATGATATATAAAATAAATATATTATGTTTTTACAATGTTTGTTGTATCTTTCACTATTTTATGATATTTTTAAGTCAGAATGATAAATTTTAGCTACTAAGTAAATTTAGCATATGAACTTTTATGTGAGGTGCAGACTTTTGCAGAAAATTTTTAGGACAATTATTATGGGTAACCCAGTTAAAAAAATCTTGTAAAATTAAAATCTTTCAATTTTTTTGTATTTTAAAAAATTAGGCAATTGGCTGTAAATATTTATTCAGTATTATCTCATTATTAAAACTCAAATATTCCTGATTAATTGTTTTTTATTAGAACTTTTTTAAACACAAAAAAAGAAAAAAAAAATGGGTTTAATAAAAATTTAATGGTTATTAAGAGTTAAAAGAAAGTAGTAAGTCAGTGTTTTTGTAAGTCCCACTACTTTATTTATCATTTAATGATCTATTGACCTGTCACATTAAATTAAATGTCTAATTATGTCTAATCATATTTTTTGCTTTAAAAATATAAAGAAAATTAATTTCAGACTGGTGGACATAAAGGTTATGGTTATGTGCAATTTGCTAATGAGGATGTGGCTAAAATTGCAGCAGAAGCAATGAACAATTATTTGATGTTTAATAAGTTACTGAAATGTAAGTTGTGTATCTTTGTATAATTTTTAAATTTTTGATAAAAAATCATGATTTAAATTTCAGAAATTTTTTTTGGTTGTTTTTTTTCAATTTTTTTTTTTATTCTGATTCACTTCCAACAAGGCTGCAAACAATCACTATTAATTTGGGAGTTACTAGAAAAAAAAGAATAGAGTTATAGAGCAAGAAAACCATTGACAGAAGACTTAAAAAGTTGTAAGTTGTATGAGTCAAGAAATACATGAAGATGGGAGAGTGTTCCAAAGAAGTGAAGTGCATGAAAACAAAACTTGATTAATAAAAGTTTTTAGAGCATGCAGAGACAGAATAAAAGTATGAGACTTAAATTCTACTCAAACAAGAATGAATTTTAGTCAACGGAACTAGAGATGATAATGGTTAGAAAAAAATGATTTGATAATCTCAAAAACTTTCCCAGATATACATGTTTTTTCAATATTTTTTTATGTTAGTTTACCTCCCTAAGGCTATGAAGGCAACTACAGTCGGTGAGAGTACTTTAATTGTGGTTACAACCCTCTTTTAACTCTGAAACACAAATGTTAACAAACAAGACCGCTGCGCAGAGAAACTTGTTGAGTGCAGTACTACCTGGAATGTGGTGGGAATGTTTATATAACAGTTGATTTTTACACATGATGTGAAAATAATCATATTTACATAATTGAACACATAATTAATACACATAATTAAAAAAATTTCAATGGTTTTTAAATTTTGTTGTATTTAGAATATTTTAAGTATTTTAAGTTAATTATTTTTAATATTTTTAATATTTATAATTAAAAATATTTAAGTTAATTATTTTGAATATTTTAAGTATTTTGATATTTAGAATAAATTTTTTTTCTTGCATTGTAAATCATTTTTATTATTTTTAAAAGGTCAATTTGTACCTAATGAAAAATTACATCCAAAGATATGGAAAGGATGCAATAAAAAATTTGTATGGATAAACAAAGCAAAGCTAGCTCGACAAGTACACAATAAGGTATACTTTTTCATAACCAGTCCTTCGAAAAAATATTTTATGCTAAGCAAGTTATTAGTAAGAATCTATTTAATAAATTGTTTACTGCTAGAAAGTTTAATAATTAAAATTTGTGTTAGGTTAAGTAATTTTATTATCTACTATTTTGTTTTTGTTATTCTACAATTATTTCTAAAAAGTTCTATGAGCAATGCTATAAACAGTTTGAAGATTTTATTGAGAAAAAAAAATCTTTTGTAAAAACATGATTTATTAAATTTTCACTTACAAAAATGTATAAACAAAATATTTCTTGTTGTTTGATAATTTTTATGAAATAATATTCTAGTTTGTTGCAATAAAACATACATTCTATTACATTCTAGTAATCATTTCTCAAAAAAACTATGTGTAAATATGGATTTAATTTTTTTAAATGATGGGATAGATTTTGAAGTGGTTCAAAATAAGTTTCACCTCGTATTGCCTAGAGAGGTTAGTGCTTAAAAAATTTTTAGTTTGAGCACATATGAAATTTCAAAATGTGTAAAAGTTTCTTAAAACAATTGTTTTGATTATTTTTAATTTTATAGTAGTTTGCTTTTTATTTAATATGTAAGTTTAATGGTCGCTCCTTTAATGAATATGTTTTTGACATTTTTTGACATTTTTGACATTTTTGACATTTTTTGAGAACAGTATCAAGTCCCAAGTCAAGCAGTAAATCAAGTTTCATATTAGACTTTTTAGAAACAAAACTTAAAGATGATTTGCATTGCTAATCAAGCAAAATTAAAGCATTTCAGTTAATCTAAACAATCAAAGCATGTCATCAAATAATGATATTTCTTCATTTTATTGACACAAACATTTTTTTTTTAGAGTCTTTAACAACACTGTTTATCATATTCTCCACAGTGTTAGAGAGAGAAGTCTTTTTCAATGTTTTCTTCAAAATTTCTAGTTTATTACTTTTTTAAGTATATTAATTATGCTTAGTAAAGAGTCATAGTAGCTGTTATCTTATAAAATTAGATTCAACAAGCGATTATTAAGTGGCCCAACAATCCAACAATTCTTTATACTTACACTAATGTTTTTGGAGGTTTTTCCTGTATATGTGGTATTTTAGATGAATCTTATATAATCCTGGTTAACTCTCCCATTGCAGATTAAGGTTCTCTATCATGTTCATAGCTTGGCAATAATTGCAACGATAGAATGGTTTTTTTTTTTTTTTTTTTTTTTTTGCATCGATCAGTCCTGGAAAGTGACATAATGCAACATGTAGGTCTGTTCATAAATTTAAAATGTTTTGCAATTATTGGTACGCTAATGATTTTTGCAAGGGTGACTAAAAAATTATTTGATATATTTTGAACTAACAAATTTTACCCTTTTGGAAAAAAATTGAAAAAGGTGATCTTCTGTTTGATGGAGCTGTGATATTTTTTGACTTAGTGTTTCCATGTTGAGGATGGTTTATTCCACCTTTTTGCAATGATTTATATGGTGCTCAAAAAGATTTCAAAATAACACAAATCAAAACCAGAAATATAATTGGACACTGTTTTGAAATTGTCAAATTGTCATAATATATTGGCATAACATATTGTACTTATTATTATTATTATTATTTCATATTTGATATCAACCTTTTTTTATTTATCTATTGTTATTTTGTTTAGTTACATTAATAAAAGTAAAACACATTTAATTTTTAATGTTTCAAAATTTTTTTCAAAAATTTTAGCGCAAAACAAAAGAAGCATCTCAAAAGGCATTTGAAAGATTAAATAAACGAGACAAGAAGAAAAGAGAAAAGTTGTTGGCTTGTGGAATAAAGTTTGAATTTCCTGGATATGTAAGAAAAATTCCTTTTTAAAAAATGTTTTTCTGTGTGTGACTCCAATATAAAATCCCCAATTTAGTTGTGGGGTGATCAACTGAATCTTGTTTTTGTGTCTGCAGGAAAATGATATCAGTAGTTCCAATTTTTAAAAATTCTTGCTTTTGTTAATATTTTAAAGATAATTTTCTTCTGGGAATTCTAGAAAATTGTTAAAAACTCCCTTGAGTTTCTGTAATTTTCTGGATCTTTTTTGCAAAAAAACACTCCAAAGCAAAAGGTTCCTAACAAAGTGTATAAAGAAGAGATGGAATTATTAAAAGTTTTTTGTTTTTCCAAAAAATTTTCAAGATTTAATTTAATTTTTAAATTCTTCCAATTTTTAAATGATTCATTTTAACTTTTGAACAAAATGAATCATTAGTCCATTGAATTTATAGTGAGCAAAATGAACAGGTTAAGCCAAAGATGATGAAAAATAGAAAAAATAAAAAAAGAAACAAAATTTTTAAATTTAAAAGATAAAAAATGTGTTGCTATTTTAATAGCATATACTTTGGATGTAATGCTGAAAAATGTTTGTCAAAAATCATTTAAAATCATGACTTCAAATTGTCGTATTTTTAAGACCTTGATAAAAGCTTACCTTGAATCATCAGTTTACTTAATATATTTTCTTTTAAAACTATTTATTAAAATGTCTTTCTGCAATCAATCTAAGGTCTCAAGGTTACATTACAGAGAGAATTATAAAAAACTTCCCACTGTAGATATAAATAAATTATTGTTTAATCAAGAAGTTATGCAGTTTCACACAGATATAATGCTTTCACCAATATGTTGAAGGGCATCTGCGCATCTTGACTATTGTCAATTTGATAGGAAAAAATTTTTAGTTGCAAAAAATAAAGTAAAATTTATCAAGGCATGCTTCAGTATAATGAGTAATCCTTGTGTTGAGCAATATGTCAGCATGATGGTTTATTGCAAGCAAATGCTATATTAAAAAAGATGAAACAGCTTCTGCTTTTTTACCTATCTTTTGTGCGTTGAATTGGAAGCCATTGTTTAAGTTTTCCAACTCCAAATTCTATCCAAAGTTGATACAAGGTAATTGTTTAAAAACGGAAATTGAGATCGCAACAACATCTGTGTCAACAGTTTGAATACAGACAACTTGATGCCCACTGTCAACTGCGTTTTTAACATGGTGCAAAATTCTAGCGTCAGCTTCCTTGTGGTTACAAGGTGAGATGAAATTGAACAGAACAGTTTCATCTAACGTTGTCACTAAATGTAAGGCAAATGTTGGTACTTGCACAAAGTTTGTTGCAAGCATTTTAAACAACTCATTTTTGTTTTCATCCAATCATAAGAATTGTGACCAGTTTTTCCAAATGGGAGTTGAATCAGAAACACATACTCTCAAACCATTTCCACAACACTTCCTGGTATGGGTTTTTAAACTACATTAAAAATAACGGTCAAACACAATGTCAATCCTTTTTATTTCTTTATGTTTAGTTGATGTGATATTATTTTTTCTCGAAACTCAATTTTAGAATAATCCTTAAAAGTCTTTGAATTTACTGGATGAAATAGATGAACAATTGCTCCTCCACCTAACACCTTTGCAGTGATACCTTCAGGAGAAGTCAAAATAGTTGCCGAATACTCTTCAAGGCTCCTAATTTTTAGTTTTTCGGAGTATATCGTATTTAGATATTGCTGGTGGATAAGCATAATTTTCATGTCGAAAAATCTTTTTTTCTCTAAACCCATTTAGAAGCTCAGCAAGTAGTGGCTCACACACCATCCACTTTATCAGTGCACTTGGGCTATCTAAAATATCAATTGAGTTGCTGTCCCCTTTTATGATTTTGATGTTTTGTTCATGGGCCTGATCTATAGCCATAGATGTAAATGGGCGTCTTGTCTTTTGAAATGTGAAAAAAACTTGTTGTAAACCTCAGGGTGCTTATGAGGGAGCATCTTCATGTCAGCGAGAAAAATTGGAAGCCATCTAGAATAGTGAGTATGATCTAAAGTAAACATCCATGGAACAATTTGTTTCAAGGCACTAACAAACATATTAAAATTTCCTATTCTGAAACTCTTAACAAGCAACAGGACAATTGTCTGTAACTCCATAGCAGTAAACCAATAATTTGGGTGTATGCTGTTCTTTGTTGATGGATCCACAAGTCAAAGGAATTTATATTCTCTCTCTTCCTCTCTCTCTTTCTCTTTAAAATGCTATTCATTCTTAAATAAGAGAAAAAGGTTGGCCATTGTTTTTGTTTGAGAGAAAAATTTCTTGAGTAATTTAACAATAAACTTTGTTATGTTAGCCAAATTATCTTAGATGTGTGTGGAGCATTCTTAGCTGTTTTGATGATTCATTTATGTGTATTAGGTCAGGGTAAAAATAATTGGGTCAATGATAATAAATTTACTAGTGTATAAAATTTCTGTAAAGGATAGAAAGTTCTTTTGTTTCTTTTTGGGGAGTTTATTATTTAATATAGCAGCACTAGCATATCTTCCATATTCTAGATTATGACTATTCTAGGATCCCGTAAAATAGTATAAATATAGGTTCACTAATCAACACAGGCACGCTCCATCTCAGGTTTATTTATTAGCTCAGATTTATTTATTAGCGACATTGTGTTATAGCTTACGTGTGCTGTAAACTTTCTATATTACTGTAAGTTAAATTTGGTATAACTTTTATTCTTTTTAATTAAATGATAAACTTTCTGTTATCGTATTCGACTTTTTAATACACTTTTATCAATGTTTTTGCCGTGTTTATGAGCCATTTTAAAACTAGGGGAAAAGATACATGTAATGTCTGTGATAAACTGAAGCAGAAGATGTTAATGCAAAGTCAGAAAACAACCCAGAAAGTGACAGAATGAAGCAAGAACTGGAACTTCATCAAAGAACTATGATGGCATAGTGCCTATGATGGCATACCGGTCATATTTTCATAAATATTGGTTATGGCAAAAAAGTGATTAGACCAACATGTCTATACTGAATTTACAGTTTTAGTAAAAGTATGTCCCTTATGTACAAATATTGCTTTTATAATCAACAAAAATTGATTTTGGGATGAGCTGTTGTATTTTTAATCCCTTTAAATATTTAAGATTGTCATTTTATTATTAGCTGTGCAGAAATGAAATTTTTATGCTTTTTATTTCCAAGTTTTGTGCATTTAGTGGAATACTTATTTTAATTTTATCTTTTGAACAAGGCAGACACAGCTTGTTTAAATGAAAATGATGACTTTTTCCTATGATGGCATACTGACGAGTTAGGTTTGTTGCAATATTGAAGAGTTGAGAAAACCTTTTTTTTTCATAAAAGCAACATATTTATTAGTGAAGTAAAAACGAATTTTTACTTCGGTAAAAAATTTTTGGTTTAAAAAACACATAAAATGCAATATCTCTTATGCGCATGTGCAAAATCCTACTGCTAAAATTTTCATCAAAGAAAAGCTGCAACTTTCTACAAAAAAAAATGGGAGGTGAAAGATCTTTCCGGATAGATAGTTCTACAGAGGCAGTCGTTTTCAATTTTCAGAAAAATCTATACACTCCCAACAAAACTTCCAACGATGTTTATTACAAGCGTCAACTGACCTGTATCTCGTTTAATGTCCACAGGCTGTCAGCAGATGATGTATACTTTTACCTTTACGATGAGACTGTTGCCAAAAAGGTGCTGATGATGTGTGCTCTGTGGTTTATCACTTCATAGAGACATACATCCCGCAAGTAGTGACAAGACTGGATTTGTTTTGTGATGGGTGTGCAGGGCAAAACAAGAGTTATACTCTACTTAGATTTATGCATTGGTTGGTAAACACAAAAAGACGATTTAAGCGCATTTCAATCCGGTTTCCAATCCGTGGTCACTCGTATCTTGAATGTGACCAAGACATGGCCCTGATCAACACTCAACAGATATGGATCTTCCCAGCCAGTGAGTTCAAGTGTTCAAGTTCAAAGTGGGTTCAAAGAATGCGCGTGTCAAGCCATCTCTCTTTACAGTGATCCCCTGTAATTCTACAACAATATTCCAGTTGTTGGACCCTCTGATTGTGAATATGGTTCTTCAACAGACACGTCATATTATGCTGATGATTGAATCAATCAGTCTATAATTATGGAGTTATTACAACATAAACATTAGTTTTTATTATTTTCCTCCTCCCTTCTTTTATTTTTTGGTTTAATACCTGCAATAAAGATGACACTCATGTAATAATACTATTATTGTTAAGCATTATTTTAGTGCGTGTTTTCTGTTGTCTTTGGTATGAGTAGTAATCAATTAAGAAATCCTGTCATGAGATTAAGTCTCTAGGAATTAACCTGTGGAATATTTTGGCTTTTATTGGAGTAATGCAACGGAAAAACGATCAAAGTCTAAACAGCAGTTCCCCTCTTACAGTATCAATATCAAACATAAACCAATATTTTCACATAAAACCTTTTTGCTATATTAAAAAATAAATGTTTTCTAAAATGAAATGATTTTTGGGGTGATTTTAATTCGTTGAACTACATAATGGTGTTTTTTAATCTTAAAAAATGATTTTCTCAAAATAGCAAAAGTGTGACTCTGATCGTTCTTCCGTTGAGGCCTTCATATATATATATATATATATATATATATATATATATATATATATATATATATATATATATATATATATATATATATATATATATATATATATGCGCATGCATACACACATACATACATGCATACACACATACATACATACATACATACATACATACATACATACATACATACATACATACATACATACATACACACTTACATACATACATTATTTGCCTTTTATTAGCTTTTTCCACATGATGTATTACTTGCCTCTTATTACCTTTTTAGGCCGGATCAAAAATAAATAAAAAATTGATAAAGAAAGACCAAAAAGCACCAACGCCTAAGACACTTTTACCTCCAAAAACAGACAAAAAAAAAAGAAAGAAAAAAGAAGTTTAATTAATATTTTGAACTTTTACTACTAAAACTTCTGTTTGTTTTGAAATATACATATAAATGTTTGTTTGAGTTGTTTTCATTGCGCTTTTTTTTTTTTTTTTTTTTTTTTCGTACAAATAATGTTTACTCAAATAGCGCATGGTACTACCCTTTACAATATGGATTTATTGATTTATTGATAAAACAAAATCAAAAAGTATATATAACTTTTATTATTAATATTTCTTTTTTAAATAAGCAATAAAGACAACGAAATCAAAGCTAAAATGGTTGGAAGAGATAAAGTATTGAATAATTATATAAAACTCAAAATCTTGTTGTATACTATAAACGCCTCAACAATTTTGTAAATATTTCTTTTACCATTACCATACTAGGCCGGTATGTTTGATGAATCTACACAAATATGAACATAACATTGAAATATATATCTAGATCAGGGCATTTTTAATTCACGACTCCATTTACGGTTGAAAGTTTTTCCACGACCTAAGATAAATATGATATATTTTGTGATTATTTATTGATTAGGTAACAATATACATATTTAAAAATTTAATTATGCTCCTATTGTTCTAGTGACTGTTCTTTAAAAATGACGTAGTTTTACTCCTTTCTCACTCCAACTATATTTTAAAACTTTGAAATAACTATATTTTTGCGTTACTATGGAACTGAGACAAGTGACTACGCTAGAAAAGCCACAACACTATATTGTCTGCGCAATAAAAATTTGAACCATTAATTCCAAGAAATGGCGTTATCTTGCGGGCAGAGTTACACTTAACTAAACTGCTATGAAACATAGCCATGAAAAAAAAAATTTTCCTTTTTTTAAACGTGTTTTTATATTTTAATAAAATAAAACTACTCGGTGTAGTTAAGGCGATTTACAAATTATTCGAATTCTTTTATTTGGAATTAGCTTGGTTTTATCAGCGTATCATGTCCAAACAAGAGCTTTATATAGTGTAATTTGTTTTGCTTCAGGTTTTTTTAATGCTTAAAGAAACTTTTTTTTTATTTATCTAATTTTTTACTACCCGTAATAGTGAATCTAAAGAACACCATTTTGGAGTCTTTAGATCAATTCCGCTCATTGGCGTTATCATGAATTTAGTTAAAATCTTTTGAAAAAGTTCTATAATTTACTACTGATCATAGTTCTAATCGGTTCTGACGTATAATAACTATATATAGTAATCAAAACACAATATTTTTATCAATTTTCACTAAAAATACGAAAATAGTGGAAGACTGCTATGGCTAGATCGCGTTTGATTTTTAATTTAATTTAAAAACTTTATTTTTTTTTGATGGTTACAATAGTTTTAACAAGAATAAAACTAGTTAAAATCAACACATTTAACAATTATTGACAATACACACTCACATGAAAGTCGTTAAAAAAAGAAGAAAAAAATGTCCACATATATATAGTCAGTTTACAATTCAATTTTTAAAAAGTATTTAAAAACAAAAAGCAAACTACAATTTACAAAATTATAATATAAATTACAAATAATATTCAAATTACAAAGAAAAAATAGTAAATATTGTACTATAATGTCTTGATAAATAAAAATAGTAATTAAAAACGACAGATTTTACAATAACAATTTTTTGCATAACAATTTTTGATATGTTTTTTGAACACCTCAGAACTATTAGAGGACATGGTCTTGTTATCTAGAGTGTTCCATAACGAGATGGCTCTAAATATAGTACAACATTGATCCTTATATTTGAAGGTAGAATCATTTTTTTGCTACAACGAAGTTTAAAAGGAAGGTTTTTTGTATTGAATAAATCCTTCATAAATTCTGGGTTTAGACAATTAATTGATTTAAAAACTTCTATCATAAGAAAACGCAAATTTCTTAAGTGGATCCTTGGACTATTATCAAAACTTAACAATTCATTAAGAGATAAGTAAAACCTTTTATGAACAATACAAAGAGCTTTTTTATGAACTCTATTTATAAGGTTGTCATAGTATTTAGAACAAAACATCCAAACTAGAGGACAATAAGAAAAATTTGACATGAATGCGTTAAACAACAATACAAGGTAGCTTTATTACGGCATAAAAAATTTCTTATGCGTGAAAGAGCAAAACATTTACCATTAGCTTTACTTCATAAGTATTTAATGTGTTCTCCAAAATTTAGATTCTTATCAATTGTTACACCAAGTAGTTTCACCCTATCAGAGGCTAAAAGTATTATATTACCTATTTTTAGGTATATATTTTTTGTGTTTTTTAATCCAACTAAAAGTAATTGGAATTTATCAGGGTTGGCAACCATCGAGTTGAACTTAAACCAGGCAATGGTATTAGTTGCTTTTTTTTGCAATCGAAAAATAACCTTTTCTAAGCTGTAATCACACGCATACAGCGTATTATCATATGCAAAATTGCACAATTCAGTATCTTTATAAATAAGAATATATCATTTATAAAGATATTAAAGAGAATATGGCTAAGAATGGACCTTGAGTCACTTCCGATAAAATATCAACCCAATTAGAAACAGAAGATCCTATCCTTACCCTTTGTTTACGACCACTAATATATGATATAAGAACTTTAAGGCTTTCTTTAAAGAAACCATATGCCTCTAATTTAGCAATAAGTAGGTCATGCGGAATGAAATCATATGCTTTAGATAGATCCATTAACAATGTTCCAACAATACTTCCATTGTTAATTAATAAGTGGCATTCATGCCACTATTTCACTATTATTACTATGCCACTACTCAGCATACACTTATTTTTTTACTTAATAAGTGGCATTCATGCCACTTATTAAGTAAAAAATAAGTGTATGCTGAGTACTATGACCTCTACAAAAGCCACACAAAAGTTTGTCAAATTTTGGCTCCATAAATAACAAAATTTGTTCATAAACGATCATTTCAAAAACTTTGGAGAGAGCGGGTAGAATACTTATAGGGCGATAGTTAGCCTTATCTGTTGGGTCATTTTTCTTAAGACACGGTAAAACATCCGCCATTTTTAGAAATGATGGAAATGTTCCATCTAAGATGCTATTGTTGATACAATCTGAAAGACTATCCCTAAAGTATATTAAGTTAGATTTTAACATAAAAGTTGGTATTTCACCACTTGTATTTTTTCTTTTTTCATTCATAGACCCTATAATTTTTGTAATATCAACAGGTGTAATACAATCGAACTTGAAATTATGTGCATTCGTTTTGAAATTAATTTTAATGTTTCTTATACTAACCCTAGTATACCCAGTATACCCATATTATACCCATAGTATACCCATAGTATACTTATACTAATCCTAGTAGACCCATATTTCAGTCAGCTATTAAAAAGTATGTTGACCGGATGGTCAACATACTTTTTAATAGCTGATAAATAAAATATATTTTATATATAGAAATTCTTACAATAATTTGAACCTGTGTTGCTTCCTACAAACGATTAAATAAATATAAGTGTATACATTTTTTTTTTGATAAACTTTATCGTAAAACGCGTTTATTTTTTATTTGATTAAATATCAAATAAATAACATGCGGTTCAATTGTATTACAACATTTGGCGTTCGATGAGATAATAGGGTGGGGTGAATTTTACTTTTTTAACACTAGATTTTTTTTAATTCTCATTCACTACCAACAAGGCTGTTCGATAATTATTTAAAAACAAAATTATATAGGTCCAATAATGCTAAAAAATCCCTAACATTAAATCTTTATTTCAAGATTTTTTAGTACGAGGAGATAAATATTTTTTTCAAAGAAGTTGTCTTGTGATTTGTCTAGTGCCGCCAAGAGAAAGGGGTCGTGAGGAACAGTTTATCCCAGGCGGCAGATATTCAAGGGGTGCCAAATGAAATGTAGGTACCTAAAAAAAAAAAAAGGTCCTTCATATATAATATAGGGGTAATCTGATAAATAAGGGCGCCAATCAGGATTGCGTCCCAGGCGGCGTGACGCCAAGGGCGTCCCAGGCGGCGTGACAGCTCTCGACGGTCCTGGATTTGTCGTTTGAAGAATTTGAAAAATTCTTCAAATTTGTTAAAAAAATAAAAAAAAAGTATTTGGAGCAGGTCAAACCCGACGGGAAATTGGCTAGCGACTAGCTAGCTGATATTTTTAACATTACAGACGGCGATTTAGCTGTAAACTTTTATCGTTTATTGTTAGTGGTTATATTTTTTCTTATTTTTACTATCATCGTAATTTTATCTAAAACAATCATGTTGGTAGCTACAAAATACGATATGTAAATATCGAATAGATACATGCTTGTCGTTATGTTATAGTAAGCTATAATATAATAATAGTTATTATTGCTATTATAACAGCTGAAAAGCTGTGGTGGGTATATACAAAGTTAGCTATTCGCAAGCTCTTTTCAAACCGGGAGTATGTGGAAATGTGGCTATAGATTGTTTTAAACATTTGTTTTTTTTTACATTACAAACATTTTACAAACATTTGTTATTTTAAACAAAATGTTGTTCTTTTTAAAATTTTAGAGCGTCTATCCATCAAGGAGTTTTTCCCAATCAATTAAAAATTGCCTAAATTATTTATTTTTAAAGAAAGGAACAGACATGTTATTGGTAACCCCATCACCCTATCTTTGTTCTTTTCAAGATTTTAAAAACTTTAGAATTATTTTCAACAGAATTTTACATAATTAACAAACAAGTTATATATAATCAACGATTATATTCAACAGAGTTTTATATAATTTACAAATAAGTTATATCTAAGCAACAATTATATTTAATTAATAACAATTTATATTTAATAACAATTATATTCAACAGAGTATACAAATATGTCAAGATTTGAATACACATAAGTTTCATGAATTTCATGTAAATAAGTTACTTTACACCGATTAGTTTGGTTTTAAAAACAGCTAAACATGCAAATAAATTGTGACAAATTTCTGTTATTATTGTGTTTTGTCCTTTAGTTGAAGATACGTTTTCCTAACATGTTTTTGCCGATAACAAATAGAAACAGTTGATCAACTAAAACTTTGCTTCTATGATAAATAACGATTGCGACAATAAAGATATTTTGAAATTTGTGTCCTTTCGGAAAAGTTCTCAATTCCTATTGATTATTCTTTTATTCTACAGGATTATTCTAGAATAGTGTATTCTAGAATTATTTTGAACCGCTAGAATCGTCTAGAAAGTATCAGACTTTTTTCAAGTTACTCTAGAATTTTCAAAATTTTTTAAACATAAAAAACTGCGAGAAATTTCCAGAACGTTCTCAAACTGTACTTAAAAAGTCATACGAGAACAAAAGCGTGAAGCAACGTTTCGGTTCGTATTATTTGTGAATAAAGAAATAACAAATTGTACATAAAGAGCAATTATTTAACTTGCAACAAGTATTCTGTACATCCGAAAAAGTGTAGGAATACTTGGAATCAATTTGTAAAATGTGACAAGCATGCCAAAGTATGTCTTCATACTTCTGCATGTTTATCGAGGATCATCACAAGTTCTGGGCACCGCATTTACCAGTAAATATAGAAAGAGAACTCTCGAAAGGAAGTTAAATAGTTGCTTCTTGCTGAGATGTGCTTACTTTACAGAATTTTAATAACTAGATAATATGTAGTTTATTTTATTTTATTTTATTTATTTATTTTTTTACCTAAATTTTTTACAACTGCATTGTTTTAACAATACATACTTTTATTACAAATAGTTTTAACAATATATACTTTTATTATAAATACAGTCAAAATGCTTCAAAAATAATTGAAATAATATTAAGATATATTTGAAGTAAAATAGTTTTACAGTTTGTATTTTGAAAAGACAAAGTAAGTCTTAATAAAAAAGAAAAAATAAACCTTTAACAATGTAGTCAAGGGAAACTCGCAGAAAACTGTGTGAAATCTTGTCATCGAGAACCCTTTTGTTAAATAATTTCATGAGATACTCATAACTATTTTATTCGTTACTTATTATATTTTTCAATATAATTAGTCGTGTTATTAGGATGGAGCATAACATAAAAACTAATATGTATATATATATATATATATATATATATATATATATATATATATATATATATATATATATATATATATATATATATATATATATATATATATATATATATATATATATATATATATATATATATATATATATATAACATACAACATATTTTTCTATATTGGAGTAATATAGAAAAATATGTTGTATGTTAGTATTTTACCATGTATAAAGATATGTATGAAATGTCCTGCCTTCAAACTTATATAATTAGTTACATGAGCTTTGCTACAGAGCAATACAGAGGAGAAAGAGACTCAATTTTTATAAGTTAGCGCCAACCGACGTACCGCTCAACTAACTGATAATTCTGCATTGGTGACATCACAAAACGTCACTCACACAAATGTGCTTTAATCGTTTATGCAGAGTTTTTACGCCAATTGATTGCTTCTGTACCGGCAGCTCCAAATTGACTGTTCCCATTATCATCCTAAACGGGGTTCCGTCTTCATGAGTTAAAAACTCAATAAAACAACAAAAACAAAACGGAGGCTACTGGAGATACAAAATACAAAAAAAAGTTTTGTTGATATCACAAATAAACCGTGGAAATAACGTCTATTAATAGACAATTCGTTCTTTGCTTTTTTCCAAAAAACTACCTATTCATTCCGATGGCCCACTTAGCACATCTGAAAGAAAACTATGTCAGTGTCAATATGTTGCTACGTGTCTTGAAGTATACATCGGTTATAATGAACCAACTTCTCTGTGGCAAAAAAAAAGTAAAATGGAAGCCACTAATAGAACCTCAAAAGGTGCTAAACTTTTTGCTAGGCATCTTTTAAGTATTTCTAAGATTTTTTTAAAGTTATCTAAGGTTAAAGTTAGATCTGGTATCTTCTTTGGAACACAGATCAAGAAGATCATAAAATATGATAAGTTTGCCAAACTTCTGAATAGGCTGGACAGAAGCTAGGAGTAGCATCGTTGCAGTTGCTCATGACATCTTGGGTAATCACAAAATGCAAAAAAATTTGAAGTTGATTCAAGATTTACGATCAATTAAGATTTACGTCTTAATTATGAAATATGAGATGCAGAGAATCTATATCCTTGACGTTTATCCCTATAAATTCAAGGATAAATTTGGAGCTTTCTCGGAAAAACAAGGCAAGTGTTTTCAGTATAACAAAAACATGATAATAAACTACTTCGTGAAAACGATTAACAGTACACTCATCATCTAGAATTTTTCTACTTTTTTGTTTGTTCGTTTGTTTTGTATATTCAATATGCAACAATTGTTTTTTGCCCAATCGAATAAACGAAAATATTAAATTTTTCTTGTTTCTTTTTTTTTTTTTTTTTTTAATAAAACTGAAACCTCTTTTAGCTGTGGTCGTAAAATCAAGGTTTGTAATCCGTTTAGTCGTTTTTTCCACAATTTTTAGACGTAAGCATTGAAATAACATGACTATTTGATTGCTTACGTCATGGTTATTGTGGTTATCATGAAAAACATTGAAAAGAGCGCCGGTGTAGTGGTAAATTAAAACTCAAGGAAATTAGGATTTTGAAGCCTTGATTTTCCGGGAAATCAAGACTTTGATGGAAAATTTGACGGTAAAATTTGATGCTATGAGTCATAATTTCACGGGAAATTATGATTGGAGCAGTAAATTAAGACTCCAAGAACTTGCGATTCAAAAAGAAAATTTACAAAGAAGTCGTTCTATTCTGCAGTAAAAAAATTTTTTTTTTAAAAACTGTAAATAGAATTTAGAATAGAATCAAAGTTAATTCAAACGCAAAAGCAAGTATAAATAATGCGCTATAATTGTTTCATACGTAAACAAATAAATAAATTTTACAAATAAACACAAGTGTGCTGCTTCATGGTGAAGGAAAGAAAACATTTTCATTTTGATAACATAGAAGATTATCTTAGGAATAAAAAGCACATTTCTACTATATCTACACATGATTATGGGATTAAATCGAATTTTCAAAGAGCAGCAAAACGGTTTGAAGTGAAAGACGGACATTTATTTTATAATAAGAGAATGGTTATTAAAGACAAAGAACTCCAAATTGAAGTTATTAGAGACTTTTACCGAGGTATTGGTAATTCTGAACACTCTATAGCAATGGCCTCACCTAGAGGAAAAAATACTACGTATGACAATATTGTGCAAAGATTTTTTTGGTATAATATTGCTGCTGAAGTTAGTAAGTATATTAGGAGCTGCGAACAATGTCAAAAACGAGGTGACCTAAAGTCTCCAAAAGTAGAATTGAAGTCTATACCAGTGCCATCAAGTGTAATGGAACAAGTTGGAGTGGACATTTGTAATCTTTCAGTAGTCGAAGGGTATTGTCATATCATTGTCTTGATTGATTATTTTTCAAAATAGTCCGAGGCTAAACCTATCAAGGAAAAATCAGCTCAAACTGTCTCTCGATTTTTGTACGAGATTATGAGTCGGCATGGGTGCTTTAAAATTCAAATCAATGACCAGGGTCGGGAGTTTGTAAACGAAGTATGTAAACAACTACACGAATTAACTGGAATAGAGCAGAGAGTTACGTCTGCTTATCACCCTCAGGCAAATAGATTGGTAGAATATCAAAACCGAACAATAAAAATTCTTTGGTAAAGGTTTTGGAAGGTAATCCTAAAATGTGGCCGCAAATTATTGAGGGTATCCTTTTTGCTCATCGCGTTAGTCGACATTCTTCTACTAACTACTCTCCATTCATGCTGATGTATAATCGCGAACCAATTTTGCCAATTGATGTAAAGCATAGCCTTGTCAAAGACAAAAGCAATAAACAAGAACACCGAGAAGAAAATATAGACGTAGAACAACCATTCAATTTCAACTTTTTTGATGCGGTCTTTTCATTAACAAGTAAAGTCAGAGCAACAATCATGTCTGAAGCGAAAATATAAAAGTTGCGCAGAAAAAGCAAAAAACGAGATTATGATAATAGACATTTGTCAAAGTTAGAAAATAAGGTAGATGACATTGTATTATTGAAAAACAACAAACGATTTGATCGGAAGGGTGGGAAGTTTTCACAAAAATGGCTTGGTCCTGTCACTGTAGTGAATATCTCTGAAAAAGGAGTTGCAACTTTAAAAAACGTATTGGGGTTAACTCTTGAAAAAATATACAACATTGTTCAACTTAAAACTTACATTCAAGAAGCAGACGACAAATTAAAACCAATATTAGTTGAAGGACCTGCATATTTTTGGAATCATGCACCAGACGAAATTGTTGAGATGATTTTGAGGTATGCCGTGCAACAATCGGAGAGCTGATTCCCTGGTCACAAGTGTGAGACCTATGCAAGTACCAAATCAACGTATAGTAAGTTGGCCCGTTTAATTGAAAGAAAGGTATTATCTTACTTCCAAAGATGTATATTGATTTGTGGAAGCCTCTTGGTAAGCCCTCCAATCATAATAATGAAAGTAATACTGTAAGTACACAAACGTTAATAAAGCAATTTGATAGCCAACTATCAAATTGCGTAGGTGATAAAAAGTTGCGCATCTCATGAACACTCTTGGTATACCATAAATCGATTCTTCTGGAAAACAAAGGTATGTCAGCCAAATCAATCATCTTTGCAAGTTTCGTCTTTATGGCTCAAGAATGAACTGTATGAGCTCACAGAGGCAGATAAGGATAGTTTGGAAAGTAAAGATAGCTGGTTGAACGACAATCTTATGGACGCAGGGAAAAAGTTAATTTGTAAGGCTCTTGGTAGCCATGAAACTTACCAATCAGTATTAAACTGCCAGAAAAAGAAGTCCACATATTTCCCAGTTTCTGGCGACCACCTTTAAATATTGTACAACGGTAGTTCTTATTGGCTATTAGCATTTGCTTCAAATGGCAGGGTTCAAGTGTGCGATAGCCTGCGCACTAACCTAACATCGATTTCAAAAAAATGTTTAAAACCCCTCTTTCAACCACTTGTGAAGAATGGAAAGTTTGAAGTAACATTTCTTCCCGTTGATAAGCAAATTGATAGTTTCAATTGTGGTGTCTTTGCTCTAAGTTATGCAAGCATATTGCTTGATGGAAAATCCCCTCTTGATGTTTGATTTGTTAAAATTTGTTTATAACCATTACAAAACAAATCGGTAATCAATAATATTTTCACAATATTTAAACATTTTTCTATGTAGCTTCTATCATTCTATTAAAATTACTCTAGTATATTTCTTTGAGTTTTATTTTAAGTTTCACTTCCCCCAAGAAATGACTATCTATTTGAAAAATAATGAAAAAACTTATTTGATCTCATTCTATATTTTATGGACTTCTTTTTGACAATCGCCTTATTTATAAGTTAGATAAAGGTTATTAAGAAGTTAGATAAAGGTTAATAAGACCTTATTAGCGAGTTAAAAAAACAATTTCTATCCATCTTGTGACATGCATGGCCGACGTCAAGGGAGGGGAGGAGGTAGGGCCAGGGTGCAAGTGACCCTCCTCACTTACTTTTTATTTATTAAAGTTGACAATTTTTATAAAAAATTGAGGATTTTTTTTTAAATAAGGTAGTGTGCCCCCCCTCCACCCCACACACACACTGCAAAAACCGTGTCGTCGGCCCTGATAGACATTGAAAGTATGACGTTCAAATAAAAGTTGCAGCAGACAACATTGATATTTTACACTTTAGCAATATTTTAAAAAAAAATTTATATATATACTCTAACGATAAATTCATAAAAGCACGTTTACATAGTTTTCCATGTTATTTAACATAAAAATTTTCAAGTGAAGTCCTTTTCTTGTAAACCCCCTCACTCCCACTTTGTTTCTTTTTATCCTTCTTATCCCAACCCCCTTCCTCCTTTTTTGCAATATGGTTTTTATGGTTGACCCCTTGAGCAATTCATTTATCTTTTTTTAAAGAAAAACAACGAATAAAAAGAAGTAAAACTTCATTCCATTAAACTTATTCATTTCTACTAATTTCTATATTCTAAATATTTTATATTTCTACTAATTATCAAAAGTTTAATTATTTCTCTATCATCAATTAAAAATAAAATCAATAAAAAAATAAAATCAGTAAAAAAAAATTTGATTTTATCAAACAAGATATTATTGGATTATATTACTTTCATCAATATTTTATTTGTGCCCATAATTATACTTTTAATTCTCTTTCATTAAATTTACATATACTTTTTATTTCATAAAACTAAATAAACCATTGAACTGTAAATTGTTGACTGATGATATGGGATCTCGTAAGATGTCTTTTATAAAAATGTTATCCTTCAAATAGACTTTTTATGTGGATTATTTTTACTTGACCACATTAACTAAAAAAAATAAAACTTCCACCTATATCATTATTTTTAATACCTTAGTGATAATTTAATGCATTTATAGTCTCTTCACAAAATACTTTTAACATGTATCATTTTAACCAGCTGACTAACTAAATTTCAGCAGACTTTTCAATTATTTAATTGTTTCGTATACACTTTAATACATGCATAAAATCAAAAAGTAAAAAAATGCCATCAGTTGTTAACCATAGAGATAAGCAATCAAATCGTTTTAAAAAAATGCTTGATTTACTCTATTATAATCATTTGTTTGTTTTTGTTAGTAAATTTTCATTTTCTTTCGATGACAGCTAGACACCTATGCCTTTGCAGAATCAGGGATTAGGGCCGGCGCGAGTAGGTGTCACGTGGGGGGGGGGGGTGCCATTACAACTTTTGCCGACTAAAAAAAAAAAGGTCCTCCTTTTCTAAAATTTGCCGACTATCATGACGACATTTACCGACTGTCTAACCTCTAACCTATATCGAAAGGGTCGATATTTGCCGACTAACTAGTCTAAAACGGTCCAATTTGCCGACTAAGGGTCCAGTTTGCGACTAAAAATCATTGATGGGGGGTGTCACACACCCCTCCCCCCCCCCCCCCACACACACACCCCTATCGCGCCGGCCTTGTGCAGAATGTTCTATAATTAAAGCGATAAATTTTCATTTTTTCATTTTTATTAAAGCGATAACTTTTCCATTTATCTTCTTAATTTAGTTGATTAAGATATTAATTCGATAGTATACAAAATCCAAATTATTTACTGGTAACATTCTTACTATAAATCTTGTTCCCTCATAAAAACATAAAACCATGAGAGCCAATATAGTTGTTGCAAAACTTGATTCATTGTTTACTGCTTTACGGTTCACATCAAAAAAGCTTCAAAAGAAGATGATCTGGTTAAAAAATTTACTTTACCAAACAAATGTCCCCGTGATAAGTTAGGTTTAACATAAACTTCATCTTGTAATAACATACAGTATTTTGTTGAGTTTTAAAAAACACTACAAATAAAAGTGTGAAACTTTTGAAGTTATAAGTGTCGGGAAGATAAAAACAATTTCTTAATTGATCATATAAACTATGTGACCGTGCAAAATATTCTAAAGCTCAAACAATAACTTCAAGTAAATATTTTTGCTAAAAAATGTTACTTGAGTTCAACTTATGCATTCAACCTGCTGACATAAAATTGTTTTCTTTTCTGACTTCTTAAAAGAAATCAAATATCCAAATGATGTGATCAACTTTTAAACTTATAAATACAATTTTTAACTAATGAAGCAATATTGAATACAACTCCAGCATAACAGGTTTCATATGATAAATTATTAAATACTATTAGACACAATTTACTAATACCAGTATTGCTTTAATGCTCTTTTGATTGCAAACAACATCTATTCAAAAAATAAATAAATAGATAAGCTTATGAATCATCAGGTCTTATATGAGATAAATAACTGCAAAATATTCTTAATGAATCAACTTCGTCAAACTCTACGAATTTTGAAAATTTATCTTCTTTTACTGATCTAAGAGACTCTTTAAGCTTTCCAAGAGAGCTTTTACCTATTGTTGTTGTTCTTTTTCTAGTGGAAGAGATTGCGCTAAACTCTAAATTAATTCAAATACACTAGGTGGATCTCGAGGATTTTCTTTTCCTTTTACTTTAATAACTAGGAAGTTTGATGGAAAATGTTTTGCACAAACTACAGTGTAAGGTTTATATGGTATATTGTCTATTGGGAAAACGTTAATCTATCTCTGGCGCTCTTTAAGATCTCTTAGAAATTCTAGAAGTATTTGTCATATCTTTTACTGAGTCATAGTTATAGTTACAAACAGTTTTCTGTGCATTTTTAACATAATTTTCTAAGCGTTGCGCGATATTATTTCAGTTCGCCCTGTAGCGAAATAATCTTTCAATTTCAAGAGATTGTTGGAGTCCTAATTTACAACGTTCCACTCTTAATTTCCTGGTAAATCTAAACTCGAAAGGTTCTAATTTACCGGGAAATTAAGACTTTCGAAGTCATAATTTCCTCAGTCCTAATTTACCGCGACACCGTCTCAAATAGTTTTGTTAACATTTTTGTATTTGACTTTTAACAGTCGTTAATGGTTTCAATCTTTACAATCTTTAATATTATTGAATAATATTAATAATTATATGCTCTTGGAATCGTGTCCAGAGATTCATAGATTAAAATTTGGTTTTTTCCACCAATATTATGCTATTAACACTATCGCTTGCATTTTCTGTCTTGCAACGTGAATACTTTTCCGCCTGTTTGTCAGCCCTGAGTTCCTGAAAGATCAGTTTGATTTTATAAGAAATTTCTATGGCTAAGCATGCTTTATAGGTATTTGTGCCATTTTCTTTTTTCCTTATATTTACATCCACTTTTTAGTTCATACTGGAAAATTTGTCGTCTTTGACGCGACATGATAGAGCGATACCAGCGTATCCACTTTCATAGACGTTAAATCCCTTACACTTTTTTCTGTCGCAACACCAAAATAACTTTGCAATCAATCAATTGTGCAATTAATTTATCCTTACTAAGCTTGTTAACTTTTAATATTCAAGCTTGACATGTATAAATAAATATTAACAAGCTTGAATTAACAATCAAGCTTGTTAATTTTTTTTCAGTTTTTGTAGTTATATGCCTATACGTTTTTTATAATATCCCAATACTTAATATTTTTTTTTCATTGTGGTTTAGGTTCTCTAAGAAGTATCAACTGTCTTATCACAGATTTCCGTGGAATAGAATTAAACAAGGAAGTTTACACCTTTTTTACCAATAATGCATATAGGGCCAGAGCCGGCTTGGAATTATAACCTCCGGTTCTGAAACCAGAACTCTAACCCCTACGCCACGGCTGCTTTTTAGAAACTCAAGTTTTTTTTACTTTTAAACCAGGTTAGACACAACTAACATGAAAGTAACTTTTACTGTCTCCATCACCTGAATAACTTACATACCGAAACTTGCTTTCTGTAACAAAACGTTAAAAAAAAGTTTTTTAATTAACCTTCATATGCACATTTATGCACATTTCTCTACTCAGCAAAATGTAATTTGTCACTTTTCTTTTTTAATTCTATTAAAACACAAGTTTTTACAAACTTAACTCAATAGTTTTACGTTCAAAGTTTTCCTTATCAATTGATATTGCAGTCATTACGCCATTATTAGGTAAAAAATCTCATTGTTGCCTCGTCCAATTACATGAAACACTAGTACCAACAATAACAGTGTTTGAATCGTGTCCGATTTTTACACTAGCATCATGAATTTTTATGATTACTTATTTCACAGCTTAAGTGATTAAACAAGATTAAGTGATTGAATGAACAAGTTAAAGTGATTGAATTAACAAGTTTAAGTGATTGAATTAACAAGTTTAAGTGATTGAATGAACAAGTTTAAGTGATTGAATGAACAAGTTTAAGGGATTGAATTAATAAGTTCAAGTGAATGAATGAACAAATTTTTTTATAATTGTTTCCAGTCAATATCGGAGGAATATTAATAAGTAAAGAGAACTTTCCAAGTCCTGCTAGATTTAATTTTTGTTTCATCATTCACACTGTTAATCGCAGTGAAAGTGTTTATTAAATATCTACAATCAGAACCGATTGTGTAATTTATCAATAACTTCAAAATCTAACAATTATTTGACTAGAAAAGATCCACGTCCTTTTCTAGCAACATTGGTTCAAACTTTTACTATGCAATATTATGGCGTATCTTGCTCAACTTAACAGCTTTGTGTTTTTTGTTTCCTAACCTCTTTTCGTTTGACACCTAAATGCGTTGAGCAGTATAATTAACATTTAATTTAATAAATGTTAATATACTGAAAATATGTCCAGAGCTTGTCTTGAACCTGGATCTCCTGCTTATAAAGCAAGCGCTGTAACCACTGCGCCACGGCCGTACATAATTTGTTTGAACAAATGGACCTATCCCATTTGTACTAAAAATCTATCCATCTGTATTAAAAATTTATCAATTTGTACTAAAAATCTATCCATACTAAAAATATATCTAACTGTACTAAAAACTTATACATCTGTACTAAAAAATTTGTCCATCTGTACTCAAAATCTATCCATCTGTACTCAAAATCATTAGTTGTAGGATTCGTATAAGTACTATACATTTACATATAATTTTATGTTCTAATTTATTACCGACATACGTAAAAAAAAAAATTAAATTCAAGAGCTCCTGATTTAAATTACATATTTTATCAACTGCAATCTTCTGGGGAAGGCTACCTGAGCATCTTGTCTACCAATAATTTCAAATTACTAGACAATTAGTTACCAATTAATAGCCAAGTCCGTTTTGAAGTAAAAAGTACACGGGAAAAACCGGCGAGGTCACATTTAAAAAGCTTTGAGAAAGTATATATTGATCATTTAGATAAGTCTTCAAAAAAACAGAGAAACCTAAAAATTAGGAAAAAAAGGCATTTCTATATTAATTTATCTTAAGTTAACATTTTTAATAAAATTTTGTAATTTTTATAAATTTTTTTTTTACCTATCTTTATGCAAAGACTTTTATAAATGATCAATATATACTTTTTCAAAACTTTTTTAATGTGACCGTTTTTTCCCGTTCACTTTTCAAGTAGTTTTATATTTATTTCAGGTTTTTAAAACTTTTTCAAAAAAAGATTTTGTTTTATCTTTAATGACATTTTGAACCCCCTATCTAAGGGGTTTAAAAAGTCATTAAAGATTTTCCAAGAGTTATTTATATCTTTTTGTTTTTCTTCTTCGATGATAGGAAAGTTTACAAAATATATCAAACTTATTTGGTTTTTGAATAGTTTATCTTATAAGATAGAAGTAGACATAGATGCAGAAGCAGAAGTAGATAACAGAATATATTCTGTTTAGAAGCGCGCATTTTATTTTGTTTGAATTATCTTACTTTTGAAGATTGAGTTGAGCGACAAAAAATCGAATAATCTCTCGTAATTTATTATTAATGAAAGTGGTGAGCTCTTTTTTAAACTAATTGGCAGATTTATTATGGAAATTTCCATTTTCGAAAATGAATCGTTAAAGTTTTTTTTTTTAATAAACTTTATTATAAAGAAAACAATTTGTATTTAGGTCCCTAGTAATGAAAGCTTTTTTGTTTTCTTTAATGTCCTTGAAAAAATTAGTTTGTTAAAAAAAAAAAAACAGTGCACATGTTCTCACTCACGCCATCAAGTAGTAGCTAATATGTTGTTTTTTTTTTGTTTATAATTTCAATAATTAAAATTTCTATATCACCGTCAGAAGCACTTAAAACATTCCTTACCTAATAATCAATAATTTCATTTACTATCTAAGAATTTCTCTATGACATTTTTGAGCAAAGTTTATTTACAATGACGAGTGTAAAAGCTCGAAGTATTGTTTTTAAATCATTCGAAATATAAGTTAAACAAATTATAAGAAAACGATTTTTTGTTTTTTTAAAATAAGAAGCTTTTCAAAAATTTGACTTTGAATATTTAAGTGGAAAGTTCTAATTTTAAATAAACTATTGCCATAACCATTTTAAAAGTTAAATTCTTCCTTCTAATTCGCTGGAATAGTGATTTGAACAATATCTGAGCGTATAATGAAATTTCTGAATACCGTGAAAAAAATATTTTTTTAATTAAAAATCGGTGTAATCCTCACAAGCTTTTGGGGGCGTTAAATTTTATTCTTTTCCTTATATATAAAGGCTTTAAACTATTGTTCTAGATATTTTATTATAACTTAATCAATGTGCTTTTTCTACAATCAATTTACTGTTGATTTCAAGTTAATTTTTGAAAATACTTTAATTGCATTTTTGCAATCATTACAGGTTTCACCTGTTTTTCTATACCACCTATTCACATATTATTTCGTCTGTCAAATTTTCTAATTTTTTGATCGGTTAACATTTTTAATTTTGCGCTAATTTTTGATGCAAAACTAACTTCTTGTTCTTTTAACAAATTCTCTCTATTATTTGATATTCTTTTATTTGTTTCTCGATTTTGTTTTATCGTTTTTTCTCTGTTTTTAATAGAAATTTCAATTAAAAACACAAAATGTAAGAAAGTATCTGCTTGCTTTCAGAAGCAAGCTTCAAAATCACATTGTGAATTACATGCTCAACAAAATTCGAAAATGCCAATTTTTAAATACATTTTTAAACGCAACATAAAATCCTCCAACCCTCAGTTCTATTTCTTTCGAATTTAGATGAATGAGTAAAGTTGTGAACAATCTCCCAGAGGAAGTTGTAAATAATCTCCCAGAGGAAGTTGTGAACAATCTCCCAGAGGAAGTTGTGAACAATCTCCCAGAGGAAGTTGTGAACAATCTCCCAGAGGAAGTTGTGAACAATCTCCCAGAGGAAGTTGTGAACAATCTCCCAGAGGAAGTTGTGAATAATCTCCCATAGGAAGTTGTGAACAATCTCCCAGAGAAAGTTTATTTTTAAAAAAGTTCATAACTTTTACTTTATTTTAACAGAGGTGGATAACAGGTAATCATAGCAACAGTTAAAGAGAAATAAAAATTAAATCATCAAAGCCATAGTTATTAGAACCAGCAGAAGTTAATAATTTACAAGATAAAATAAAAAATAGTTTAGAAGTTATTAATGGAAGATAATAGAAATTTAGAATTTATTATTTTGAAGTGAAAACATTGAAGTAACATAATTTATGTTTTAATAAAAAGAAAAGTAAAAATTCTTTTAGAGTATTCTTTTGCAGTTTCACAGAAAAGAGTTTTAATTAGTATTTCTATAATATTTGATAAATATTCCTAGTATGTGACATATAAATATTTTTAGAAATAAAAGTTCTTAAAATTTATATTTTTTAAAATATTTTTGTAAATTATTTATATCATCTGGATGAAGTTACGACATTTATTATACACTATTTCACAACATTGCCAAAGCCAAAAACAGAATAAAGCAAAGCTAAAGAGTTCATCTAATTCTTTTAAAGGATTGCAGAGGAGTTTTCTTTATTCAATACTGATAGCTAGCATAGGTAAAAAGAAAGGAGAAATTTAATTTAATGAAGTTATTCCAAAAGATTTTTGTTTTATCATATATTTTTATATTTTTTTTTTATAAATTTGATGTTTTTTTCATATGAGATTATCATTAATGTAAACATCTGAACAAATACCACTTTAATTGTGCAACAATTACTCTATTTTCTCAACGCTGAGAAATGGTTGGTATACGGTTAAAAAATAACGATCTAAATTTCAACGTTATTTCAACGTTAGTTCAACGTTAAAAAAAAAAAAACGTTGAAATTTCAACATTGATTTTCAACTACAAACAAACGTTGAAAAATCGTTGAAAAATGAACGTTGAAATAACGTTGAAATTACGTTGAAATTTAGATACGAAAGTTCGCCGACGCAAATGTACTAATAATTCGGAATTAATAGTGCGTGGAAAGTTCTTTAAAAATTTTTAATAAAATTACTAATGTAATAAAAGTGAAAACATTAACAGATTTTTATGCTATGAAAATATGTATAATTTTACAAAAATTTTCATGAATTTGCAGTATACACAAATTTTGCATAGATTATGTAAAAATGCATATATTATATAAAATATATTTTGTATACTGCAAATTCATATGCAAATTCATATGAATTTTTATATGAAGATAAATGAAAGTCTTTATAATTATAATAAGACTTTGATTGTATATTTTGCATATATGTATATATATATATATATATATATATATATATATATATATATATATATATATATATATATATATATATATATATATATATATATATATATATATATATATATCTTTAAATGATTTAAATATGGGTAATACTAATCCGCGGAAACTTTTGTCGTTTGTTGTCGTTAAATTTAATGTAAACCCGCAATTATAATTGTGAAACTAAATATTAAGAAACAAACAAATTTTAGCTTATGCATCCAAAATCAGTAAAATTAAACAAAAAACAATGACGACCTATTGCAACTAAAGTTGTTTTATGTTAAAATTTTTTTTTACATTAAAATTTTAATAAAGTTACCAATACGACTCATTACTAGAAAGAAAATCATTTTTTTCACAGTTTTTTTTTACTGTATCTGATTGCCAACCTTGTTTTATTGCTAAAATAACTCATAAAAAATTTGACGACCCTCCGCGATATATATATTTTTAACTTATTTTACATTTTTAAAATTTTGAACAAAGTTAAAAAGCGGGGGGTCTTCGTTTTTTTTTTTATGAGTTTTTTTAGCAACAATATAAGGTTGTTCATCAGATACAGTTAAAAAAAACTGTGAAAAAATGGTTTTCTTTCTAGTAATAAGTCGTTTTGGTAACTTTATCAAAATTTTATTGTAAAAAATTTTAAAACATAAAATAACTTTAGTTGCAATAGGTCGTCATTGTTTTTTTGTTTAATTTTACTGATTTTGGAAACATAAGCTAAAATTTGTTTGTTTAATATTTAGTTTCATAATTATAGCTACGGGTTTACATTAAATTTAACGACAACAAACGACAAAAGTTTACGCGGATTCATTTTCCGCGGATTAGTATTACCCTTTAAATATTCATCTTTAATTTAAAGATGAATATTTAAATCATTCAAAGATGTTTATATATATATATATATATATATATATATATATATATATATATATATATATATATATATATATATATATATATATATATATATATATATATATATATATATATACATACAATCAAAGTTTATTATAATTATGAAACTGTAGTGTAGACCAGTATTTTTTGGTTTGTATAGTCAAAAGACAATGTTGTTTGTATAAATGAAATTCTATCAAGTTGAATAAAGAATGGTTTTGTCTGTTGTCCGAATCAAAATGTGAAATTCGCAATAAAAAATTGCAATAAGGAAACAGTTGGTTAGTATAAGTTTAAACTAAAATGTGATGAAACTACAGGTATTATAACCTAATATATATAAATGATTATTACATATATTTATAAGAGCAGTATTAAAGACCATTTAATCTTTATCAAATCTTATGTAAAGTATTTATTGTATTCTTTTTGTTAGGAATTGGTATAATAACATCAGGTAAAGTAAAAACTTACAAACTGGATTGCAGACGTTAACATAACTCCAAAGTAGGTTGTTATTTTCATTTTACCGTTGTTTTTTTTTTATATTTTGTTGCATTATTAAAATAAAGTAAAGATGGCTTGCACAGTAGAACAGAACAAAAATTTAAAACTTTAGTTAAAAAAGGAAAAAACAGACTAGTTAATGTAGGCTTTAGTAATATAGGAGCTAAAGTATACCATAAAGTCATTTTTAAATATATCTTCTTTGTTTTGTCATGTGTATATAATTCTCATCCAGAGAGAGGAGCCAGATGGAGTTTAAACTTTAAACATTCTGGTTATATAATGCTCTGCCATCATAGATAATTGTCTTGGATTTGTCAATATTGTACCATTCATGACAGTTTTCTGCTAATAGTTTTTATTTACACATAATATAATCTAAATCATCAAGTTGCATAGATGACAACTTGTTAAACAAATTTCTTATTTCTTCTTATTATTTTATTTATTAATATTATTATCAATATAATTATTTATTTACTTTAATTCTATTAATTATTTATATTTTCTTATTTATAGTATCTATAAAAAAAGTTAGCACTCATAAAAAAAGAAAAAGTTATTAAAAGTTGCTAACTGCATGCTCAAATTAGAGCTAAGATTTCTTAACAGATGTAAAAGGAAAGAAAAAAAGAAGAAAGAAAGTTCGGGAGAAAGCTGTTTACAAACAGCTTTTTCCCTAAGTTTCTTTCTTTTTTTTTAATATTTCAATATATCCATTAAGTATCTAATCAC